AGCCGTGGGTTTGTTTTTTCTTTCCTTTCTCTCACCCTCTCTCTCTCACTTTTTTTCCGCTTCACTCCGCACCCCAGCCTTGTGCTTTGCGCTGGGAAGAGGGGGGAGGGTATGGCGTTATTTTTGTGCCACTATTCTGAGCGCACGTAAAAAAAAACTTGAGCGCACATAAAAAAGAAATTGAGTGCATGTAAAATAAAATTGCAGGTGCAAGTGTTGCATTTTGAGCGAAGAAAAGCTAAATTTGAGTGAACAAAATTCATTGCTGCGTGCAAAAAATGTATTTCAGTGTTTGCTACTCCATACACACACAATAGCAGCCCCTGTCACTCAGTTTTTGCACTTGCGCTTGCTCGCAATGTGTTGCTTGCGCTCTCAACATTTTTGCCTGTGCGCGCTCAACTCTTTCTGTACACCGTTATATTTGTGCAACAAAAACAGCCAATCACAGACTTGGATGCAAAAAGAATTTGATTGGCTGTTTTGGTCTCCAATCAGCTCGAAATGACGAAATGCAATATCCCAGAATCCATTTCGTCCAAAACTCAAACGAGGCAGAATAGCTCAGAATAGTGGCACAAAAATAACACCATAGGAGGGGCGGTAGTTACACTCGCAGTAGCACAGGAACAGAGCAGGAGGGAGAGACAGAGAAAGAGAGCCAGGGACAACAACATCACATTAGAAAGGTACACTGTAAAATGTAATATTGTGTTTAATTAAAAATATTAAATAGGCTGAACTCAATTTTTATCAATTTGTTATTAGAACTCGATTTAAATAAGTTACCAGTACTTTTTATGCAAAAATTCTGATAAACTCAATTTATTTGAGTTATCTTAACTTAGAAAAACTAAGTAAGCTGGAAGTTTTGCTTCTCAGTGTGGAAGGATGAAAGATGTGTTTTGAAAATGCCACGTGACTACCGTCCTCCTCCCTCTCAGATCAGTCCGCATGTTCATGGTGCCAGCATTTTTTATGGAATATGTTGAGCAAACTTGGAGAAGCATCAGCTCAAGAGATTATTGTGGATCTTTACCTGATACACTGACTTGGTGAGTAAATGTTTACTCTTATTCAAACTGATTTTGTGGCTTCTCTTAGTTTAGCACCAGGTTTATAATTTTGCTAGCTAGTTAGTGTTAGCCTAGCGTTGCTGCTGGGCTCATGTTACTTAAAAATTAACACCACAGCCTTAAAAACCTTACATAAAAATATGTCTGTGAAATTTTCTGTTGATTGTTTGAAATAAAAAGGGAGATAAGAGCCCAGACAAAATTCTTCGGGAGGTGCATGTCAC